TATTCTATTTTCAAATATTCTTGTATTTTTTAAAGTTAGAATTTACCTTTATAAAGTCTTTTTTTATCCATAATTATATTGTTTATACGTACTTTGTTTTGCCATCTGGTTAAATAATATCGGTACATAATTTTTGTGACGTGATAAACTTGGGGCATTTAATATTTCTCTTTTCTATCATTCATTTTCAAAGGACGTCGATATCACCACTTAATAGCGCGCAGCATGTCACTTTTATCTGAAGCAAGGAAACATGTTGTATATACAATCTAAAGTATTGCTCTACGTTATGTATGTGCTCCTTTCCACAGGGCAAAAAGCGAACAAAAATTATGTCTGCTAATTGCTGATTAGCGTGCGCACAAGCTCGAAATATCTCACATTTCTCCTTAATTAATTAAGCTAATCTCAACAAAATATCTTATCTACGAATGCGTCTTCTTCCCCATTAATTTTAAATAAATTAACCATGACTCTTACGCCACTTAATTACACCTGTTTCATCTAATTATACAAGTTGACTCGTAACTAAGAGATGATTACATTAGCAACCATGAGTTGGCGAAAAATCATGGTTAATTTTGATTAAACTAGACGACTAAACAAATAACGAGCTAGTACATGCAATGATGTACCAATTATTCCCTTTAGGAGACATACATTATGTTTAATTAATTAGGCTAAAATATACGAATCATTTGGACCGTCATGCGGTGATCCATCCTTATTGATCTTAATTTATCTCCACTTTCACAAATCAAGATAATTTGTCATCCAAAATCTTATCATATCATTGAATTAGCCAATCTTAGGATAAGGCAATTGGGGACTAGCTGTTGTCACTAAGACCATGAACTTCCTTGTGACCTGTGATATGGGATGTTGATGTAGATCTAATCCAAGACTCGTTAACCTATTAAATTGCATGATAAGCATGAGATTGACACCTAGAGCTTATGATTAGTTCATCAAAAATCTAGCCTATGACTCCCTTAGCTAGCACATAAAGCCTATGTAGTTATGTTTAAAGGAAGATGAATCCGAGGTAAAGAGATTTTTAATTAAGTTTGCTAACAATAATTACCCCAACATATGTAAGCACTTGCTACAGTTTCAAATGTCGTTATATGTATGAAGGAATCAAATAACATCCACTTCTCTCGGGTTAATTTTGGCACACAGACCCATGAGTGAAAATACTTTCAGCTCTTTTAAGGTCATGGATTTATTTGTTAGAAAAACAATTTTCTCTTTCTTTAACGATAAAAGAGTCAAAATGTTCATTCAGAGAGTCTATCTGCGAAAATAAAGCTAGCAACTTTAGAACATCACTAAGAAGAGGGGTCTATCGACAATTAACCCTAAAGCGTGAAGGGAAAATAAGAACAATTGACGGCAACATGTTGAGCATCTTCATCATTAAGGAAATCTACGTGACTAATCAAAATTTCTCAATTCTAAGAGTATTAACACCTTAATTACTAAACCATGCATGTGAAGATTAAACACTAAAGAAGACAAACAGAAACAACACGCTTAGGTTTTATTTATTTATTTATTTTCTAATTCGAAGAAATGTAATCATCTTTATTCCGACACGAACGTTGGTGCAAATTAAGTTCAGTGTACCTTCGTAAAGGGGACGAACTCATGACAAGATTAATGGCTCAACATCACTAAAATGGACTTCTAGGTGTGACATGACTCATCCTTTACTAGTACTTTCTCTTTTTTTAACATTTCCCTCATTTTCAATCATATGTATTAAGGACTATAGATCGATCACGATATAAGTATAACTAATATCACATCGGCCGAAAAGTCGAACCGGTTCATATTTTTAATTCAAGATAAATGAAATTTGAGGTTTTAGAAAATAATATAAACTTTTATCCTTTGAGCCTCGACGGTGCTTCTCCACTCGGCACCGTCAGATCACTAAGGCCGACTTTTGTCCCAGCTCATCTTTCAGTCAAGCCCCCTTGTGCCTTTGTCGAAGAATCTCGTCTCCCCTGTGCAATTACTATCTAATGTATGTAGCTGCAACCCATAGTTATATTAAGCTATAGTATTAAAATAGAAGATAAGAATTAAGGGCCCAACATTAAGATTAACATAAAGCCAAGGACAAGAAAGATTGGAGAAATTGCATAACAAGAAATGACAATAATTAGCATTAACGCATTATAGGAGACATAGGCTTCATACGTCAAATTAGGGCACCGAATTTAGGGCCGAATTGAGACTTTTCATTTGGGAAGAGGATCCTCTATAGAAAATCAAGGAGAGCGCGCCAAGTATTGTCCAGCATAAATTTTATATTGGGTAAATTGCACTAAACCCCCATGAACTTCCAAAATCATAGTAAACCCCGTTGTGGTTTTCGGAATTGCAAAAAACCCGCATGAACTTTCTGAGTTTTGTAGAAAACCTCCATAAAAACGCATTTTGAAAGTTCATGAGGGTTTAATGTCATTTACCTAAAAGTTCATGGGGGTGTTCCATAAAAGTTATTGGGGGTTTACCGTGATTTTGAAAGTGTGTGGGCGGTTTTACTGCAAAACACTGGAAGTTCATGGGAGTTTAGTGTAATTTACCTAAAATTTTGGGTTAATTGTGGAAAGGCCCACTTTATTATCATGCAATCTGCGGATAAACACCTTGTAGTTCTATTATGATAAACCACTTTTACTGAGTTTCTTTCACTCTTTTGTCCTCGAAGAAAAAGGGAAATTGTTTTGTTTTTGAGAAATAGGCCTCTTGATGGTAAAATAGTAAAAAATGTTTATTCAGTGGACCTATCTAGATTTAGGCGCTAGTATAGAGGGTGTATCCGCAATTAACCATAAATTTTAAAATTATTGATTATACTAATGCAGTAATTTGATTTTAGTGATACAATATTTGTGATTGCATTAATATAAAAGTGGTGCTAGCCACAGCTGTGAGTGCACTTCACTAGCACTATGGCTAGGACACATGCTCCTAATTGGAACCACTCGCGATTGTGGCTAGCAGTGCACTTAATATAATACTCTGTTGTACTGCTAGTATTTATATATGATCATTTTAACATAACAGTTGCTCTTACAAAGAGTTTAGATACGATATGTTAAGAAAACTTGAATATATGTGTTATATGTTCTTTTTTCTTTTAGAAATCGCATGCCCCTTTTTTGGTGTTAAACACAATTATGTAGGACACTTAATAGAGATTTTTATGGAAGAGTGGGACAATCACAAGCTAAATACAGATATATACATGTTATTGACTTCCGTAAAAAAATGATCATATCTTCTAAGCCAGCAGGCAGATTCTGACATATTATATATGTACATCGTCTATCTAGATGAGATGGGAAAAACAGATTGTCAAATTTTCAAAATCTCATCCGCAATAACCAGTTTTGGCTGAAATCAGAAAATAATCAGCTTTGAGTTTATTTTTAGTAATAAAGTTAGAGTCAATTAAGACTAGGAATTAAAATTAATTTTGATTCAATTCGGATTGATTTGTTTGCGTTATTATATGGAGTCTTTGAAGTAGTTTAAAATTGTTTTTGTCTTTTAGGAGTTATGTTCCTATTAGGAGTGGACTTTGTTTTTCTATTCAAGAAGAATGATTGTAAATCTCATGGTATGAGATCACTTTTATCAATAAAATTCCTCTTTTAATATTCTCTTCGTGGATTCAGAGATTGTTTTTTGTGGATTTAAAGGGCACCCCTTGGTGGATTCCGATGTTTATCACTTCTGCGCTACATTAATTGGGATCGGAGCCATGTTTTCAATTCGATTGCAGACGACGAAGCCCCTATTACCCAAACTCAAATTAAGAATCATTTATATCGGATTGCGTTAGCAATGGAGCATCTGAACCCGAGACAAGTTTGAGATTACGTTGATGGCCGCCAAAGATGTGCTAGGGCTCTGCAATAAGAATTCCACATCAATATCAATGAAAATGATGCCCCTCATCGAAATCATGATCGTCGAGACTACTCGAGATGTGATATATATGGTACTGAAAATATAAGGGTTGATTTATTGACTTTCAATAGAAAACTCAATGTAGATGATTTTTTTTTATTGGATAGATGAGGTGAAGAGATTTTTTAGATATTTAGGAATTTTAAAAGATCAGAAGGTTAGACGAGTAGTTTATCGACTTAAGGATAAAATAGCTTATTATCATTATGAGAGGATCGAGTCTGTCAACAGAATCGAAAAATCCAATCATGGGCGAAGATGAAGGAATTGATTAAAGCTTATTTTCTTCCGACATATTATTATATGCTCAATCAATACCTAAGTTCATACTCTAACTATGATCATGCAGAGATTAAGCAAGCCCAATTTGTCCCTAAGCAAGACCCTACAGTTGTGAAGAACCATATATCAAAAGTACAATATCTTCCACACGAGATGCAACATGATGCAGAAGATTTGTGATGTTATCATTGATAGTTACAGTAGTGAGAATTTTGTCTCTCAACATATGGTGAATAAGTTAGGTTTGAAGAGTGAGAAACGTACATCTTCCTATAAAGAAAGATCGGCTGGATTTATAAGGGCAATAATGTGCAGAACGATAAAATGTGTCAGCTACCCTTTTTTATAGGCCGCAACTATATTGATGAAGTGTTGTGTGATATGGTCGAGATAGATACTTGTCATATGCTTTTAGGTGATACATGGCAGTTCGATATTAATGTCATCCATAGGGGCAGAGACAATGCTTATGTCTTTAAAAAGGATGAAAGTTAAATTGACGCATGCCTCTTACAGAAAAGGAGTCATTTACGATAAAAACTACTGATAAAAAACTTTTTTTGGTGGTAGACAATAAAGCTTTCACTAAAGACTTGAAGATATATGAAGAAGGTTATACATTGGTTGTAACTAGGAAAGAAGAACCTGCCTCTACCAATATTCCTTCTGAGGTGTAAGCCACTTTTGTGACTGAGATTGGTAATGTTGATGGTAATATGTTAGTGAAGATGGGCATTATACATGAAATTTTTGAAGCTTTTGTGAGTGATATTACATTTTCTAATGTTATTGCAACGAAAGAGAAGGGTAGAATCGAGAGCGAGGTGATTGATGTTATGTGTAACTTGCTTAGTGGATGGCCCAGAGCAAAGGAGATGGAGTATGAGAGAAAATCTTCTCTTAGAACAAAGAGTGACAATAATTTCGACAAGATTGAGATGAAACATCAAGCACAAGAATATAAAAAGCAACAAGGAAAGGATTTGGAGGAGTTTTTCAAGTCATTTATAGATTCATATGCTGTCAGTCACATACATATGATATTTCATTCAAAAGTTTGATTCAGAAGAAGGGTCAGCCAATGAGGCAAAACAAAAGATAGAGAAAATCAATGCTAAGTATAAGGCGAATGTTGATCGATGCAGGAGACGAAAAATGTTTATCAATGAAGCAACTATTCAAGCAAATATAAGATCGGGGTTGAGCTTCTTTCAACAAGAGGAGACTAATGTAGGACACTTAACGAATAGTTACATACAGGAGCATGATAATCACAAGCTAATACGGATATATACATATCATTGACTTTCGCAAAGAAAGAATCATATCTTCTAACCAGGAAGGCGTATTCTGACATATTACGTAAGTAAATCGCCTATCTCGATGGGACAGAGCTAACCAAATTGTCAGATTTTCAAAATTCCATCAGTAATACCTAGTTTTAGCTGAAATCCGAAAATAATCAGTTTTAAGTTTATTTTTAGTAATAAAGTTAGAATCAAGTTAGATTAGTAAACAAATCAATTTTGGTTTAGTTTGGACTGATTTGTTTTCTTTATTATAGGGAGTCTTTTAGGTAGTTTTAAGTTATTTCTCTTTTTTTAGAAATTTTGTTCTTATTAGGAGTGAGCTTTGTTTTTCTATTTAAAAAGAAGGATTGTAAACCTCATGGTGTGAAATCACTTTTATCAATAAAATTCCTCTTTTAATATTCTCTTCGTGGATTCAGAGATTATTTTTTGTGGATTCAAAAAGCACCCCTTAGTATATTCCAAGGGATTTGGATCCTCTCCACTACAAAAAAATAGTGGAGAGACCACTACTTTTAATCTCAAGCATTGATTAGGATTTGGATCCTCTCCACTACAAAAAAATAGTGGAGAGACCACTACTTTTAATCTCAAGCATTGATTATTTAGTAGGCGGTTATGATACAACCACTACTTTTAATCTCAAGCATTGATTATTTAGTAGGCGGTTATGATACAATCTAAATCTAAAACTTACCATACCCCCGTGTATTGCACTCATTCCTAATTTGCACTAAAAGAAAAAAATCATAATTATCAACTAGATAATCAATGGCTGTGATTATGTAGTGGTCCCTCCACTATTTTTTTTGTAGTGGAGAGGATCCGAATCCTATTCCAAGGCTTATCATTTCCCCGCCGCGTTACTCAATGAAGAGTTATTGGAATATCTTGATGTAGCTTAAATTATTAATTCCCTGATCCACCGCCAATCCATTAAATTACACCTCCATTAGCAATATTTAATCTCAACATAATTCTCTGAACAACGTTTTCTATAAGAAGCGTACCGAGTTAATTGTAAACCTGGACTCCTTTCCGCCTGCTAATATATATTCAAATGTAACTGAATTAATTTAGAAATACTTTTACAATTGCATGATCACCCACTTCAGATTCTAAAATGATGATCACCATTTCTAAGAAATATATTTATTCACCTTTGGCCTTCTCTTTTCCCTTTTTAAGTCACCATGATTAATTTCTTTATATTTTGGTCGTGAATCGTAAGGATAGTTATACTACATTTTTATTAAATTGAACACGTACTACCTCTAAATGATATATTCGGACAACCTAACCTTTATTATTGAGCATAAGAAACACTACTAAAAGTGAAGGTAGAGTGATAAAGTTTTTGAAGACACCTTCCTCCAATAAAACATGAGCATGATACACATGCACAAGTAAATATTTGGGTGATTAAGTAGAGCTAAGGGTTGTGAGCTCTAATTTTGTTAAATAAATTATTAAGAGATAAAAGGATTGTGCATGAGATCGGTCTTACTTACTACTATTTGCTATAGCTCATTTAACCAAACAAATGGCCACAACCAATATTGTTCCTTTAAAAAATACATTTAATCAATTTCCATACTTTTATATATATATAAAAAATATAAAAAACTTAAAACATAATCATTTTAATAAGAAAACCATTAACATTTCACAATGGAGAAATAATTTGCACTTATGAGTATGTAACATACGTGGGTTCAGAGGTGCTAAGAAAGGTCTTACCCAAAATCCAAGCGTCATTACAATTTATTTTGTGGTTAAACCGACAAATTTAATCTAAAAGGATTAATCCGGGATAACAATGTTTATAATTAGGCGACTTAATTCAAAAGATCAAGTTTTGAGGGATTTATGTCACAAAGTAGATGAGATTTTAGGGACCAAAATCTTAAGAAAGCTTACTTTTAAGGGATGAAAGATCAACATGTTAGTTATTTGGGCTATTTAATTTGGATATTAGAGCCTTAAGCCTTTCATAATTTGGTCATACGGTTTTTAAGTTATTTTGAAATTAGTTGTGCCGATGATGATCGATGAGATTGCTATTAGGCCCCGATGTTAATAAACTGTTTCAAATTAATCCTTCTAATTGTTACTTTTACTTTTGATTAGAGAGACTAAATTTAAGATAATTGAAGGATCGATCTAATAGTAATCTCAATTATGTGACTGATTTAGTTCAAAATTCAATATATGAAAGTGTTGCTAAAGTGGGGGAAAGCTGCTAAAGTGTCAGAACTTTGGCAGCTTTTTCCTAAAATCGTCTCTTTTAAGAAGCGATTTTGGGGGAAAAGCTTCCAAAGTAAAAGAGACCATTTTGGGAGAAAGCTGCCAAAGTTCTGACACTTTGGCAGTTTTCCCCCCATTTTCCCTTCAAAAAAACAGAACCAAACACGTCCTTAAGGGACTAATATGGATCGACAAGACCCTAGTTATTTTTATGGTATTTATCCGTGACAATACGCGCCCTCACCATCAAGAGACAAGTTCATTGACTGATCGAGGGACCAAAAGCTCATCTGAGGAACATGAGGACTGCTGACATTCTCCTCCTCCAATAAAAAAGCTAGAGAGTAAAGTGAACAAACCTACTCTCCCTCTCTCTCATATCTTTTTCATATAATATTATTATATATAATATCTTAATTATACTATTGCTATATGTTTCCATCAATGTAGGAACTATATAAAGAGAGAAGAAGCAATTGCTCAATTCTCAAAACACCTAGAACTATCTCCCTCTCATCTTCTCTACAATATTTATTAGTTTCTTATTTTGGATAAATTAAGCATCAATATCTCTCTCCCTCTCTTAGCACTTTTATTTTCCAGGTATACATTTATCACTCTATATATTTGTCCTTTTCTTTTCTTTTTTTTGGTTGTTGATCATTCTTTGAAATCATTCTTTTTCTCTGAACAGGGATTTTCATTTCTTTTACTTCAAAATAATGAGGATTGAGCCTGGTAGATCATTCCCTAAGGTATTTTCCTTTGGATCCATTTTCTGATTAAATCTTTTTTTTTTCCTTTTTTGTATTTATTGTTTTACTTTGTCGCAGTCTTTTACTTGGCCAAAAATAGTAACAAAGAAATGGCTAAACATGGAAAGCAGCTCCGCTGACTTCCCCTCTGACTCTAGCAACCACAGTGAGCATTCATTAACATAATCTATGCTCAAACCTAACATAAACGTAATTTCCCATTTATGTTTTTTTTTAAGAATAACTAATTGAATTTTGTAATTTTTTTCTCAAATAATTTAGCCTCATTAGGAGTTTTAGAGAGAAGAAAGAGCTGCTCCGACACAGACAAGTTTTTTCTAGTCAACAGAAATTATTTAGGTACTCTCTCTCTCTCTCTCTCTCTACAGAGCAGCAGTTACAATTTGTTACAGTATTTTCTAATTCAATATTATTAAAAAAAAGCAATTTAATTTTAAAATTATTAACGTGTTTTTAATTCTCTTTTGTGGACTCTGTTTTTTTATATCCATTTATTAGACAACAGTGGATGGTTGGTGAACAGCTCTCAACCCGATCCAAGTCCACCCGCACCAAACCTCAGGTAAGTTAATTAATTTACTAATTGTACTTAATCACTGGTTAATTTATCTTTAAATTTTAATTGACGCGCTCCGAATAATTGCAGGGTTTTCGTTGGCACGTGGAACGTGGGTGGCCAAGCTCCCCATGAGAACCTCCCCTTGCGACCGACCTATACGTCATCGGGCACGTACTTCTGCCTTATTACAACTCTACCCCCTCGATGGCATTTTCGTGAATAGTCCTCTCTCTCTCTCTCTGCGTGCAGGTTTCAGGAAATCGTACCGTTGAACGCGGGCAACGTCCTGGGCCCCATGGACAAGGCTCCTTCCGCCACGTGGCTTTCCCTCATTCACCGGGCCCTGAACGCGGAGCCTGACGGAGGCGGCCGTTACTACTTGACGGCGAGCAAGCAGATGGTGGGGATACTCCTGTGCGTGTGGGCACGTGAGGGGATCGCCGAGCACGTGGGCGACGTGAAGGCGTCGCGCGTCGGAACGGGGATTATGGGCTACCTGGGAAATAAGGTTTAATATAGCTTTAGTGGCGTGATTAAGGATATAATTAAGTAATTGTAATTTTGGAGATTAATTAATTAAGTGATTAATTAGAGATTAACTAATGACCGCAGGGATCGGTGTCGATCGGCGTGAGGATACGGCG